TGTCAGTCATATTTGCTCGCGAGGACGGCTCGGCAACTCAAATGCAAGTCGAGTGGCTCCGAAATTCCATTTTTGCCGCGAGGCAATTTCGAAAGCCACCCAAATCCCAGATTTTTGCCAAGCGCCCGCAATTCCTGGCTCAAAGGGACGGACGGGATCCAGCTTTGTCGTTCCGGAGTCCTTCCTGCGCCGACTGAGCACGTGGCCCGCTTCCCTCTCCAAGGTTCCGGGATGAACCTTCTGGACATCCGCAGCAAAACGTGGAACGAGGCCTTGCTGGAGGCCGTGTGTCCCGGTCTGGACGTCCTGCTGGGAACGCCGCTGCCCTCTGCCTCCGTGCTGGTGAGACGGCGGTCCGAGCGGGTCCTCCGACCCCCCCCGAGACCCCCGCTAACCCGGCGTGTTCCTGCGCCGACTGAGCACGTGGCCCGCTTCCCTCTCCAAGGTTCCGGGATGAACCTTCTGGACATCCGCAGCAAAACGTGGAACGAGGCCTTGCTGGAGGCCGTGTGTCCCGGTCTGGACGTCCTGCTGGGAACGCCGCTGCCCTCTGCCTCCGTGCTGGTGAGACGGCGGTCCGAGCGGGTCCTCCGACCCCCCCCGAGACCCCCGCTAACCCGGCGTGACCATCCGTCAGGGTGCCGTGTCGTCCTACTGGGTGCGCAGGTTCAGCTTCTCGGACGCGTGCAAGGTGGTGGCCTTCACCGGAGACAACCCAGGTGAGCGACGCCCGGCCGTCGACGGGCCGGTCGCCCCGCCCCCCCCTGCCCTTTACCGCCGTTTGTCTTTTTCTCAGCGTCTTTGGCGGGGATGAGGCTCCGGCAGGGAGACCTGGCCGTAAGTGCGCCCGAGCGGCAGCTTCGGGAACGCCATTTCCATCGGCACCCCCGTCCGGAAAGCGCAGCGAGCTCGGCACGGCGACTCGAGTGACCGCGTTTCAGGAACGGAGGGCGGCGCGACGGCCCGCCTCACGGATGCGTGCGTGCCTGTGTCGCAGGTGAGTCTGGGTACCAGCGACACGGTGTTCGTGTGGCTGCCGCACGCCCGTCCGGCTCTCGAGGGCCACGTGTTCGTCAATCCCGTCGACTGGCGACAGTTCATGGCTCTCTTGTGGTGAGTGCGTTTTGGGCCGTCGGCGGCGTGACCGACCCCAACGCCGGCGTGCGCTTGTCGTGTGCTCCTCAGCTTCAAGAACGGCTCTTTGACCCGAGAACGACTGAGGAACCGTTGCGCCGACGCTTCGTGGGAACGCTTCTCTGCCGCTTTGAGACAAACGCCGCTTGGAAACGACGGATACATTGGTATTGCTCGCCCGCTTTCCTTTCCTTGCCTTGCCTTCCCTCCTTCTGACTTCCTGTTTGCAGGCTTTTATTTTGACGTGATGGAGATCACGCCTCCTGCGGTAGGAGTTCATCTCTTTGATGCGGATGACAACGAGGTGGGCCGGGTGTCGTGCGAGTGTGCGTGGCTGTGCGCGTGCGTGCGTGTGCGTGAGAGAGTACTCGCGTTGTCCTGCAGGTGTCATCGGTGAGCGCTCAGGTGGAGGTGCGGGCCCTGGTGGAGGGTCAGTTCCTTTCAAGGCGGCTCCACGCTGAGCGTCTGGGCTACTCCATCAGTAAGAGCACACGCACCTCCCAAACATACGCACGGACGGACACAAATCTCGTCCGCTTCAGTTCCAGGAACTCGAATTTTGGCAACGGGCGGAGCGTCGCGGAACAAAGACATCCTGCAGGTGAGCGTCACCGCTAACGCGCTAATGTCGTGCCGCCGTCATGCAAATGTCTTCTTGGCTGTGTGTATTTGTGCGTCAGGTGTTGAGCGACGTGTTTAACGCGCCAGTTTACGCCGCGGACGTGTCCGACTCGGCTTGCCTCGGCTCCGCCTACAGAGCGCTGCACGGTACGCTCGCGCCCGCTTCCTAATGTCCGCTTTTGACTCTTGACGAAAGTGGACAGGTGGCCGCGTTGTCTTTCTTCAGCCGCAAGCACACTTGTCCTGAGCGAGGACAAAGAAAGGTAGCCTCGAAAGGAAGGAAGGAACGAGGAAGTCGACAAAGAACCCCAAAATAAGCAAGGACGCTCAGGAAAGGAAGGAGGGAAGGTAGACACTCAGGTGAGGAACAAGAAAGGACGAGAAAAGAGAAAGGAAGGACGTGAAGGTCAGCAAAAGGAAAAAAAAAAAAGGCTTGAGGCTCAACATGGTCACGAGTTGCTTGCTCGCTTTGTGTACGTTTGACACCGATGACGATGGCGGAGGAGGAGCAATCTCGCTGACCGCTGGATCCGCGTCCCCTCAGGTGCGCTTCAGCAATCGGGCGTGTCCTTCTTTGACATCTTGAAGAAAGCTCCCGAAGCGCAACTTGCCGCCACGCCGCAGCCTCACGCGCACCAGGTATGCGCGCACACACACACACACACACACTGGCCAGGTGAGGAGCAGAAAAAGATGGATGAAAATGAGAAAAATTGGCCAGTTTGCAAAGCCCCAGCTGCCTTCACTGTCGATTTCCAAAGGAAAAAAAACCAACAAGACGTGCGGAGATGATCAAGCCTGCATCCCTTTGTGACTGATGCGCGGCGCGTGTGTGTCAGGTGTACCGTGAGATGCTGCGGCGTTACGGCCGGCTGGAGGAGAAAATCCTGCAGGAGCTCCGCCCCTAAACGCCTCAAATCGATGTGACGGGCCAACGTGAGCCTCGACCCAAGGCGATGTTCAACGAGAAGGAGCCGCGCGCCACACGTTCAAACACACGCCCACCGGGCACTGCGAGGCGGATGTGCCGGCAAGCCCGTCGCTGCGCCGCCTTCATAATAAAGCTTCAAAAATCAAACGGCGCAGAGATGACTCCAAGTGGTGCTCAGATTTCCTGTTGTCAACTTTTGAACTGTGGCCTCATACACACACGTCATATTTTCAACTTTTGTGTGTGGAAAGAAAGTCTGTTGTTGGTGTTGTTGGAACTGCCACCTTTCCAGAAGCCGCAATCCAAAGGGAGCGCATCCAGCGAAAAGCTGAAATCCATCATCCAATCAATGAAAGCGGCGCGTCGGGGCGTGAGGCGCGATGACGTCTTCCCAGCCGCGTTTGCGCGGGATGAATGATGACGCCGCCGCGACGTCCTCGGACACCCGCCTGACCGTCGCCGTTCCTTCCGCCCGTTTGTCGTCGGCGATGTAGAAACAAGAAATGGAAGAAGACCACGACAAAGAACAACCTGGGGTCCCCATCGTCCTGTTTTGGCGGCAAAAATATGGATGCCGTGTTGGGGCGGCGGTCGAGCTGGTGCACATCCCGCTCGAACGCTCGCTTCCGCTGCTTTGCGTGTTGCTCGACATTGGCAAACTCCAAGGTGGCCGTTTGTCAAACGCCACCCCCCCCC